GGGGCCAGATGCGGCCCGCGAAGTGGTTTCATGTGGCCTGTGAAGCCATCCTGGAAACAGTGAGGAAACGGCCCCCTCTGCCTTGGCCCTGACCCAGGCCAGGCGGGAGCCAATGTACAATTTTGTGGTGGCCATCTATGCTGAAATGCATTCAGTCTTAGCTTCACAAGGTCGTCTGGAAACAGTGAGGAACCAGGAGAACCTTGAGCAGCAGCCTTGAGGAAGTAGGGCTGGGCTTGGTGCTGCGGGTGCTCAAGGGCCAAGCTGGGCATTTGACCTCTGCTGCCCAGGGCTCCGAGCAGCCCACACCACCATCCAGCCCCTCCCCCTGCATGGCCTGAGAGGAACAGTGAGGCTCCTCCAGTGGACCATGCCTTGGCACTTGCCCTGGTCCCACCCCCTTCTGCTAGAGACCCACAGATCTGTCCCACTCCTGCCCAGGCCCCCACAGGCATCCTGGACATGAACAATGTAGAGCTGGCCATGCCCACCCAGTAGGCCACACCCACTCCATGCACGTCCACCCAGTAGGCTGCACCTACCCTGGCCACACCCACCCGGCCCCCTGAGGGCAACCTCAATGCTGATGTGGCCCTCAGTGAAATTGAGTTTGACACCCCTGTTCTAGACTTTTCTTAACATGGAGGAGAAATCAAAGTATGTCACTGAACTCCTTGAAATAACAATGGTCTTCTGCATTGCCACTGCACAGTCATAGAATTGATATGGATTAAATCAAGAAAAAATTGATTGATATGGATTAAATCAAGAAAAATTCATCTCTATCCCCTGCTTATAAGCCTGGCTCTAAAATAAAGTGCTGCTTGTTACCATGTTTGTTCATTTTGATGTTCCTGCTGGGCTCTTAATAACAATGTATAGTTCGACAAAACATTAAAAAAATTCACAATAACATGGGATAAAGGTTATTATTTAAAACAATCAGCAGTTAAGTCTTGGAATTGATCAAATGAATGAGATTGTTTTTTTTATTTTTTTAATAGGAGAGTATTGGATTGATCCTAACCAAGGGTGTACCGGGGACTCTTTCAAAGTATACTGTAACTTCACAGCTGATGGAGAAACTTGCATCTATCCAGATAAGAAATCAGAGGGAGTAAGTACCCAAATAGTACTTCTTGCAAATAGTTCTTGCTTGAATCAAGATCATGGCTAAAACAAACAAACAAACAAAAACACAGTCCCTTTTTTTGTGAACAAGTCTTTTTTTTTTAATATGTCAATTCCAGTACCGTTCTTACAAAACTGAATCAAAGTTTGCCTAATGCCTATGTCTTGTGGATAATAGTTTGGACATGTTAACTAGTGTCATTTTTTTCATAGCCATGATACAACCCTGCAGCTACTTTTTAAGTCACAACAGACATCCCACAGTCATGTGACTGCAATCTATTACTTTTTTTTTTTTTTGATGGAAATTAGCATGTACTTCCATTTTCCAGCAAAATACCCCATCCATCGTGGACAATGAATTTGCTTAATGACCACTGCAAAAAAAAAAAAAAAGGTCAAAATCAGATTGGTCATGGGATTTAACAACCGGCAGACTTAATAACCATAATTCTAGGCTCAATAATGGTCATAAGTTGAGGACCACCTATATGTGGACAAAATAATTTTCAAGATTAAATAATTAGCATTCAGCACATTTTGTGTTAGAAAAAAAACATTAAATTACACTTAAGTATATTAAATTATTTTTAACAATGAAAGCAAGAATATAAATCTCAGAGATTAGTGACAAAATCTCCACCGTTAGTTGTTCATTATGCAGCTATTTTTTAATTTTGTGTTAGCACTTAGTATACATTTTGGAAGAAGAAAATACTTTGTAAAGTTCTTTTTCTTATCTTTTCATACCCTTCTAACCAGGTACCTTTCTTATCTGGGTTGATTAACTGTGGCTTTTCAAGAAAGCAACCAGATAAATGTATATATTCAAACCTTACTTTTCTTAATATAAACATTTGAAATATGTCTCCATGCTTTGTTGAACCAAGAAGTATAGGATTCTGCTGAATTCTCAGTTCTGCTATACATATTTGTTAGGAAGATCCATTTACCTAGTGTTAGTATTTATGGAAATCAAATCACACTTTTTGGATTATTGATCATCATAGTGAGGTTATTCCAGCCATAATATTTTTTAAAAAAACAAATAACTAGACTTAGATAAATCTTTTATTTGCTCTAGCATGGATTCTCGTGTTTGGAATATTATTATAAAATCAAATGTTACTGCTCCTCAGTAACTATTATCAAATCAAATGTTACTGCTCCTCAGAGTGCATTACACTTGGAGCAGGGTGAAGGTAGTCCTCAATTTATTACTGTAATGGAGCCCAGAATTTCCCTCATAAATCATGATGGTCATAAGTCAAGGCACCCACATGATTGGAATTGATTTTATGGCTTGTTTTGCAGCAATCATTACACAGGCACCACAGTCATTAAGTGAATGTTATGCTCATTTAGGGAGCCAATGTATTCCTATGAGTGGGTTTTTTTGCAAAAAAAAAAAAAAATTACCTGAAAAAGCAAAAAAACAAACAAACACGCAAACATTGTGGTCATATGATGGCGGCACATCAGCCATAAAAATGACCCAGTTGCCAAGCACTTGATATGCAGTCATGTGACCGTGAGGGGGGGGGAGGCAGCCATTGGAAGCCTAGAACCGGCTCATAAGTAACTTTTGAGGTCTGCAGTAACTTTGAATGGTTGCTAAGCAATCAGTCATTAAAGTGAGGATTACCTATATAAATCTTGTCAAATTAGTAAGAGCAGCTTTCGGCATCCACAAAGCAGAAGAAAATGTAAAAGTCCTAAGAATTTGCAAAAAAAAAAAAAAAAAAAAAAGTCTGAAAGCCTCCCTTTCAGACACTGAATGCTCAGATCTTTAAAGACCTCTCTTTTATCTCTGCTCGTTGTTAATGGTCCGTTCCTGTGCCTCACAAGAAGATACAAGTGACAAGAGAACCAAAATGTAGTATTTGAAGAGAGCAAAATACTGTACAGCACCATCTGGGCTCACCCAGTGCCAAAGACTGCAAGCACAATCCCTTTCCCACAGATCTGCTGGAACAATCCAATCAATGTATTTAGTTATTTAATATGTTATCTGAGAACTTGATACAATTTTCTCTGCACAACTCTAAATATAATTAGAACTAGGCAGAAAGCCCAGGCGTTTTTTGTTTTTTTCTTTTCATTTTTTAAAAAGAGATTAATTTAGCAGTGTTTATGTAAAACTCGGCTAATTCCCACTCATTTCTTGCTGACATAATTAACACTTGTGATTTCTTTCCTCCCTCACAGTTTAGGATTTCATCCTGGCCAAAGGAAAACCCAGGAACCTGGTTTAGTGAATTTAAGAGAGGCAAACTGGTAAATTACCTTTTTTTTTTTTTACTTTAGAATTAGCATGCCAACCTAAAGACACAAATCCTATAAAGTTATCCTGAAACAAGTGTTGCTTTTTTTTTTTTTTTTTTTTTTTTGCTAACACACAAAGTGTTGCATGCAAGTAGTGACTTTTGTGGGGAGATTCAGCATGAAGATACTCTAGGCCTCCTGCATCTTCAGGGGCAGAAATAGGCCTGTAATTTTCTGAATAAATGATTCTGAAAACTCAGGTAGGGCAAAACACTCTGGGAATATTTGTAGCTTTTATCAAGGACTAGGAGCAGATAAGAA